AGACCCTACCCCAAACCACAGACAAACACACACACGCGCTCATGAACACTCATACACACACACACACACACACACACACACACACACACACACACACACCAGTAAAACAATAAAACCATGATGAGAGACCTGGCAGGGTTCAGATGCAACCAGCTGAAAAGACTAAATACTATTCCGTGCTCTGTTTATATTGATACACTTTTTCTTGACGATATTTAGAACCATATCAAGCCATTTCACCATTATTTAGACCCGCGATGAAAAGTGGGATCAGGAGGAGCGTCATCAATGCGCAGCATATCCACGCTGGACCATAAAAAACATGTTCAAACACAGTAATTGCAAAGAGAGAGAGATCCTTTATTCCCACCTGCTGCACTGTGTCCGGGGACAGGACAGAGCTGGACTTGGGGTTGGAAACTGAAGGACACTTACTGAACATGTAGACCACTCTTGTTTCAGTACACATGCAGGCTCACATCACTATTGTCTCTGTGTACATGCATTTCGCAATTTTGATTGAGCTGCCAGTTTAAATTGGTTTCAGTTTCACTTGGTGAAACATGAACCCATCCACAATATGAACAGGTTAAAGACTAGGGCAGATAGTCACTGCTCCATGTGGCCTGTTTATTCACTGAAGAGGCCACAAACTCAGCAGCAGTCACATCGAATTTTAAGTTCTGCGTTTAGACTTGCTCCTTGAGACCTGTGACCCTTGCAATGCCAGTGCCAAAACAAACACAGGCTCATGTATTGTGCTGTCCTACCTACAGTAAGTCACTTCCATTTGTGGCACTTAAAACGCTTGCTTCTGTATGCAAACTTCATGCACGTTACCATGGCAATCCTTATGCAACAGCAGAAAATGCAGTGTGCAGTGTGAAAGATACGGTTCTGGTTGAATAAGCCCATATAAGAGATTTGTAAGACATTTTTCAAAGTAGGTCAATGAAGACGTACTTGACGATTCCAGATTCTGTTGCTCAGATGTTATCTCTCCATGTCCTTATTTACAGCGCCTTCCAAAAATATTCTCACTTTTCCACATTTTTCATGTTATGACCACAAACATTAGGATATTTTTTGTTATTCAATCTGAAAGACAAAATCACAAAGCAATGTGGCAGAGAATTGTGAAGTATACAGAAAGTGTACAACAGTGCCTTGCAAAAGTGTGTGTCTTTCCCAATCAGAGCCCTTACATCTTCGGTTGTGTGTTTACTGCGCTGGCCAAGACCTTGAAATGCACAGACAGTATGTTGTGATTGTCCACGTGCCCTAACCCTGCAGGGGGAGAAGAAAGCTGCTCAAATGTGTAACTGCTAAACTCAGTCGACATTTGAACCCATCGTAATCTCAGAGTTTTGTTCACGCCGCCCATAGCCTCCTTCTTTGGAAACGTTTTAATTGTACTTCTGAAACACAAAGTAAACAAGGCCCAAAGCTACGAGTAGTTATAAATTGACAGATCTACGAAGCTTGAAGGGCAAATACTATCACGCAACACGCCATAGTCCTTCCTGTTTTCATCTCTTCTTCTTCTGTTCACGGTATTTACTGTAATCCATCAGTTCCTGTTCCTGGGAGTGCACTTACACATTGAACATTAATCCCTCAATGTGCCGTTAATGTATCTACTAAAGGACATGTTGTGTGGCGGGACAGGGGTCAGCTTGGCCACTCCACTTGTCCTGGTCCATGTTTTACTGCCTGGGTTAACTCACTGACTGCCATTGACATATTTGTCTGAGACTGGTCATTTCTGTCAAACTTCCCTCTATTCGGCTGAAGATTACAGGACAACAAAACTAGCAAGAAACAAACTTATTTTTGCTGATGAAAGTAGACAATCCAGTCTTTCAGAATCTGGTTTCATAATTCCCATAGTCATAGCAGATAATATTCTGTGGGTCTTGAGAATCAGTGAAATCATCAAAAACGGCAGCAGTCATGGGATAATTGAAAAGCTTTGGTCCAAGTCATCGGTCGCAAAGAAAGGTCACTGTTTAACACTTTGGCAATACCTTGTACTTAAGTCCTTGTGAGGTTGTATTCACCAAGAAGAGAAAATGGGGAAGTTAGACCAGATATTAGAGCTACTGCGCAATCAACCCCCTTCACTTGTTTTCACTTGTATGTTTCGCAACGTTCCAACCTTATTGCAAAATTGGTCGAATTCTTGTTTTTTTCCATTTCAATCTAATCACAAAACCTTGCAATGACAAAGTTAGAATTTGATCAAATATAATAATATAAAATTCACATTAATATTGCAACAAAAAAAGCAAGTAATGTTTATTAATATAGCACATTTTACAGACCAAGATCACTCTAAGCGCTTCACAATATTCAGAGATTTTTTTTTCCTTCTCTCCACACACGGTGATGACGGAAGCAAGACGCCGGACAAAATGGCGCATCCAAGCCCCAGCCAACGCCATCCTTTCTCCCGCTCATGACATACTCAGACCTATTGTGCATGTTTTTAGTGGTAGGGGGAACCGGAGCACCCAGAGTAAACCTACGCAGCCTGGAAACGTCTAAACTCAGCCCTAGTATTGCTTCCTTTTCCTGGCTATTGTTTGCATGTCTTTGATCCTTTAGCAGTGGAGCGAGAGCTGACAATAGAGAGCAGCTATGAATAATGAATACAGGGAGAAAGTGCTGGATGGATGAGAAGTGCAGCTCTAAGACATGCACACACACACACATTCACACACACACACACATTCATACACACTAAACACAAAGAATGAACAAAAACAGCTCAGAGAAACTAAGTAGGTGGATATACATGATGTGTTATGTAATGTTTATTTAGCTGTGAGGCGGTTTCAAAAGGCAGAGGTGGTTCTCATAATATACAAGACAAACAAGGGCACAAGAATGAGAGAAGAGAGTGGCTCCCAAAACATGCAAGAATCTAGATGAGAAGAGTGATTCTTAAGTGCAGGTTTGATATAGACTAAAAACATCCATGTGTACTCAACACTTTCATAACCAAAACACAATCTCATACCATTGATTTCTACGTATAGTATACAAGAACATTTCACATGCGCTACATTTTGTCTTGGCAACCGCCATAGATCTTGGTTCTTCAGGCGAGTAAACATGGAGCAACGAAGGTGGCGATCGTTTCTCACTCGAGCCACCCTAGCAGCTCTCGAACCTTCAGAAATTGGCCACTCAAAGCTCAAAAAGAGAACTCCCCACTGTTACACGGTTTTCATCTTTAGAAGTATCCCCTCTTTATGACGCATTTCTATTCTCGTTGGTCTTAACACCAACATGTTGTTAGTAAATTATGAATAATGTAAGCGCCTTCCGCCCCTCTGCAAATTTTCCCTTAATTTTTTATGAGGCGTGATCCAGTTATATTTCATAAGGCTGCAGATGTAGGCTTGCTTATATTGTATAGCAGCACACATTCGATAGACAGAAGGCAACTCAATTGTGTCTGATACCAAGATATGCATTTAAATCATATAGCATTAATCTCAAGAACATTTAAAGACACGAAAGACATATGCGATCGTTGACACAGGCTAAAATCAGATACATGCGTTTATATAACCTTGGCGTTGTTATACAAATGCTCCGATGCGTAGAGAAGGCCTGTACCCTCACATCTCTTCTGGACTGTTATGTTACCAGTTTTTAGCAGCATGAACTTCTGGATATGTCAGCCTCCCCCATGAGTTTAGTTTTTGACGACTCTGATGTCCCTAATCCAGGAGTCCAGTCCCAGCGTGCGCTCCTCTGAGTCTCCCCAGCAGAGAGTCTACCAGTCCACCTCGTGCCTCCTCAGAGTCTCCCCAAGACAATGGATGCTCACTGTCACTGTGCATCCTCAGAGTCCCAGCAGGTGGCCATGTCCGACTATCGTGCCTCCTCATAGACGTCCCTGCAGGTGTCCAGTTCTCCTGATGCCTCCTACAGAAGTCCCAGCAGGAGGCCAGTCCCTGTGCTCCTCAGAGTCCCAGCAGGAGGCCAGTCCCTGTGCTCCTCAGAGTCCCAGCAGGAGTCCAGTCCCTGTGCTCCTCAGAGTCCCAGCAGGAGTCCAGTCCCTGTGCTCCTCAGAGTCCCAGCAGGAGTCCAGTCCCTGTGCTCCTCAGAGTCCCAGCAGGAGTCCAGTCCCTGTGCTCCTCAGAGTCCCAGCAGGAGTCCAGTCCCTGTGCTCCTCAGTGTCCCAGCAGGAGTCCAGTCCCTGTGCTCCTCAGAGTCCCAGCAGGAGTCCAGTCCCTGTGCTCCTCAGAGTCCCAGCAGGAGTCCAGTCCCTGTGCTCCTCAGAGTCCCAGCAGGAGTCCAGTCCCTGTGCTCCTCGGAGTCCCAGCAGGAGTCCAGTCCCTGTGCTCCTCAGAGTCCCAGCAGGTGTCCAGTCCCTGTGCTCCTCAGAGTCCGGGCTGGTTCATATGGGACCATGTCACTAATATATTTTGGTGCGAGGCCATGGAGAGACTTGTAACAAGCAGAGCTGTTTTAAAGTCTTATTCTCTGAGCCACAGGAAGCCAGTGCAGAGACCTGAGGGACTGGACTAATGTGGTCGTACTTCCTGGTTCTAGTCAGGACTAATGTGGTCGTACTTCCTGGTTCTAGTCAGGACTAATGTGGTCGTACTTCCTGGTTCTAGTCAGGACATATTGTGGTCGTACTTCCTGGTTCTAGTCAGGATCTAATGTGGTCGTACTTCCTGTGGGTTAGGGTCAGGAACATCCATGGCAGCCTACTACCACAAACAATACATCATTTTAAAGAGTTTGAGGAGGGCAAACATAACCGCATGCGTTCTCATTCTAGATGTCACGTGGGAGACCGCTCTACGGGTCTGGGGATCCGGCGGTCACACAATAATACATCTAACTAACTCAACAAATTTTATGATTAATAGGAAGCAACAGAATCTAGAAAACAGTTAGTGGCATTATGGTCGATTGGTGAGGTGTGTAGTGATTGTGCGTTAGGTGAGGGTAGGACAGCTTCTCTGGCGACTAGAATGGGTTTTGAAGTCTGGAGATTTGTGAACGAAGTGGAGAAGAGTGTACAAGGGTACGGACGGCGCGAGGGGGGGAGTGGGAAGGGGGGGCGGGGGGGGGGAGGTGGAGGGGGGCGGACGTGGTCGGAAAGAGTTCCCCGGCAGCGCTGTGGGTGGCGCGATGAGTGTGGCATGCAGGCGCTGTGTCCCCACGTGACCGAGAGTCTGCTGGAGGGGAGCTGCGAGAGTGTGAGGGTGGCGAGGGAGGTGGCGAGTGTGAGGGTGGAGGAGGTCAGATAGGTGGAGGAGGGGCCAGGTTGTGAAGTGCATTTTGAAAGTGGTGAGGAGTATTTTGAAGTTGCTTGTCAGGAAGCCAGTGGAGTTGTTGTAGTACGGGGGTGATGTGGTCAGCTGTGGGGGTCCTGGGGCATTGTGGGGGGGGTGATGTGGTCTAGCTGTGGGGGTCAGTCTGGGCAATGTGGGGGTGGATGTGGTCAGCTGTGGGGGTCCGGGTGATGTGGGGGTGATGTGGTCAGCTGTGGGGGTCGGGCATTTGTGGGGGTGATGTGGTCAGCTGTGGGGGTCCGGGCGATGTGGGGGTGATGTGGTCAGCTGTGGGGGTCCGGGGCAATGTGGGGGTGATGTGGTCAGCTGTGGGGGTCCGGGTGATGTGGGGGTGATGTGGTCTGCTGTGGGGGTCCGGGCAATGTGGGGGTGATGTGGTCAGCTGTGGGGGTCCGGGCAATGTGGGGGTGATGTGACTACAGCTGTGGGGGTCCGGGTGATGTGGGGGTGATGTGGTCAGCTGTGGGGGTCCGGGCAAAGTGGGGTGTGGTCAGCTGTAGGGGTCCGGGTGATTGTGGTCTGCTGTGGGGGTCCGGGCAATGTGGGGGTGATGTGGTCAGCTGTGTGGGGTCCGGGTGATGTGCGGGGTGATGTGGTCAGCTGTGGGGGTCGGGAAAAGTGGGGTGTGGTCAGCTGTGGGGGTCGGGCCAGTGGGGTGTGGTCAGCTGTGGGGGTCCGGGCATGTGGGGGTGTGGTCAGCTGTGGGGGTCCGGGCAATGTGGGGGTGATGTGGTCAGCTGTGGGGGTCCGGGTGATGTGGGGGTGATGTGTGTCAGCTGTGGGGGTCCGGGCAATGTGGGGGTGTGTGGTCAGCTGTGGGGGTCCGGGCAATGTGGGGGTGATGTGGTCAGCTGTGGGGGTCCGGGGCAATGTGGGGGTGTTGTGGTCAGCTGTGGGGGTCCGGGCAATGTGGGGGTGATGTGGTCAGCTGTGGGGGTCGGGCAATGTGGGGGTGATGTGGTCAGCTGTGGGGGTCCGGGTGATGTGGGGGTGATGTGGTCAGCTGTGGGGGTCCGGGAATGTGGGGGTGATGTGGTCAGCTGTGGGGGTCACGGGCAATGTGGGGGTGATGTGGTCAGCATGTGGGGGTCCGGGCAATTGTGGGGGTGATGTGGTCAGCTGTGGGGGTCCGGGCAATGTGGGGGTGATGTGGTCAGCTGTGGGGGTCCGGGCAATTGTGGGGGTGATGTGGTCAGCTGTGGGGGTCCGGGCATGTGGGGGTGATGTGGTCAGCTGTGGGGGTCCGGGCAATGTGGGGGGGATGTGGTCAGCTGTAGGGGGTCCGGGTGATGTGGGGGTGATGTGGTCAGCTGTGGGGGTCCGGGCAATGTGGGGGTGATGTGGTCAGCTGTGGGGGTCCGGGCAATGTGGGGGTGATGTGGTCAGCTGTGGGGGTCCGGCAATGTGGGGGTGATGTGGTCAGCTGTGGGGGTCCGGGCAATGTGGGGGTGATGTGGTCAGCAGCTGTGGGGGTCCGGGCAATGTGGGGGTGATGTGGTCAGCTGTGGGGGTCCGGGCAATGTGGGGGTGATGTGGTCAGCTGTGGGGGTCCGGGTGATGTGGGGGTGATGTGGTCAGCTGTGGGGGTCCGGGCAATGTGGGGGTGATGTGGTCAGCTGTGGGGGTCCGGGCAATGTGGGGGTGATGTGGTCAGCTGTGGGGGTCCGGGTGATGTGGGGGGTGATGTGGTCAGCTGTGGGGGTCCGGGCAATGTGGGGGTGATGTGGTCAGCTGTGGGGGTACGGGCAATGTGGGGGTGATGTGGTCAGCTTGTGGGGTCCGGGTGATGTGGGGGTGATGTGGTCAGCTGTGGGGGTCCGGGCAATGTGGGGGTGATGTGGTCAGCTGTGGGGGTCGGGCAATGTGGGGGTGATGTGGTCTGCTGTGGGGTCCGGGTGATGTGGGGGTGATGTGGTCAGCTGTGGGGGTCCGGGCAATGTGGGGGTGATGTGGTCAGCTGTGGGGGGTCCGGGCAATGTGGGGGTGATGTGCTCAGCTGTGGGGGTCCGGGTGATGTGGGGGTGATGTGGTCAGCTGTGGGGGTCCGGGCAATGTGGGGGTGATGTGGTCAGCAGACTGTGGGGGTCCGGGTGATGTGGGGGTGATGTGGTCAGCTGTGGGGGTCCGGGTGATTGTGGGGGGTGATGTGGTCAGCTGTGGGGGTCGGGCAATGTGGGGGTGATGTGGTCAGCTGTGGGGGGTCCGGGTGATGTGGGGGTGATGTGGTCAGATGTGGGGGTCCGGGTGATGTGGGGGTGATGTGGTCAGCTGTGGGGGTCCGGGAAATGTGGGGGTGATGTGGTCAGCTGTGGGGGTCCGGGCAATTGTGGGGGTGATGTGGTCAGCTGTGGGGGTCCGGGCAATGTGTGGGGTGATGTGGTCAGCTGTGGGGGTCCGGGCAATGTGGGGGTGATGTGGTCAGCTGTGGGGGTCCGGGCAATGTGGGGGTGATGTGGTCAGCTGTGGGGGTCCGGGTTGATGTGGGGGTGATGTGGTCAGTGTGTGGGGTCCGGGCAATGTGGGGGTGATGTGGTCATGCTGTGGGGGTCCCGGGCTATGTGGGGGTGATGTGGTCAGCTGTGGGGGTCCGGGTGATGTGGGGTGATGTGGTCAGCTGTGGGGGTCCGGGCAATGTGGGGGTGATGTGGTCAGCTGTGGGGGTCCGGGCAATGTGGGGGTGATGTGGTCAGCTGTGGGGGGTCCGGGTGATGTGGGGGTGATGTGGTCAGCTGTGGGGGTCCGGGCAATGTGGGGGTGATGTGGTCAGCTGTGGGGGTCCGGGCAATGTGGGGGTGATGTGGTCAGCTGTGGGGGTCCGGGCAATGTGGGGGTGATGTGGTCAGCTGTGGGGGTCCGGGCAATGTGGGGGTGATGTGGTCAGCTGTGGGGGTCCGGGCAAATGTGGGGGTGATGTGGTCAGCTGTGGGGGTCCGGGTGAATGTGGGGGTGATGTGGTCAGCTGTGGGGGTCCGGGCAATGTGGGGGTGATGTGGTCAAGCTGTGGGGGTCCGGGCAATGTGGGGGTGATGTGGTCAGTTTTGTGGGGGTCCTGGGTGGGTCAGGGCAAATGTGGGGGTGATGTGGTCATGTGGGGGTCGGGCAATGTGGGGGTGATGTGGTCAGCTGTGGGGGTCCGGGCAATGTGGGGGTGATGTGGTCAGCTGTGGGGGTCCGGGCAATGTGGGGGTGATGTGGTCAGCTGTGGGGGTCCGGGCAATGTGGGGGTGATGTGGTCAGCTGTGGGGGTCCGGGCAATGTGGGGGTGATTGTGGTCAGCTGTGGGGGTCGGGCAATGTGGGGTGATGTGGTCAGCTGTGGGGGTCCGTGGCAATGTGGGGTGGTCAGCTGTAGGGGTCCGGTCACTGCAAATGGCAAATAAATGAATCTCTCATCTCAAAAAAATGCAGTGCAGCTGCGTTCACAAAGTCCAAGACCATTTTCACCACCAAAGAAACAGAAAACAACATAACTATACACCCCAGTGCTAATCCCCATCCCAAACCCTTCTCTACCCAAGTTTCTCTTTCAGTGTTGTCTCCAATATATGGATGTGATATCTCTCACATCCAGATTTTTGTGTGCAGCATCCAGAATCATGTTTACACGGTCCGATTTTTCATGAAGCGCTGATGCACTGTTGATGATGAAGGCAATGAAAGTCAGGAAACACGTTTTATAAACACACAAGAAGTTTCCGCTTGAACTTTTAATATTCTCTTCTCCCACTTCCTTAGCACGCTTTACTGCATAAGAAATCGTCGACTCTTTTCTCAAACGACACACTTTGACTTCAAGCTGTTTCCGTGGACAGTCCATAGATCCAGCACAATGCTTTCCAGAACAATGTACACGTTCAGGTTCTTTGTTAGTTTCACAGTCCTCATTCACACGCGTTTCACTCCCACATCTTGCACATCTTTAGTTCCCCTGCAGACAGCCGCCACATGCCCATGTCCTTGGCAGGAAAAGCACCTCAAAGGGCCCCATTCAAAAGGCCTCACTCTGTAGGACACATTATCTAAATACACCCGCTCTGGCAACTCTCCTTCAAATAATAACGACACAGATTCACTCATTTGTCTCCATCCGTCTCTGACTCTAAATAGCCTCCTGGCATCACAAACACCAGGAACTCGTTCCAAATCTTCCACTTCCACACTGGTAGGGACTCCCCTAATCACTCCCTTCACTCTCTTCTTCTCACTAAGTGAGAAACACCGAACTAGAACATTGTTGTACTTTTCAATCTTTACTGCTTTCTCTCTCTGATTTCGAGAGGAACACTCTATGACGACCATCCCACTTCTTGTCACTCGGACTGGACAGTTTCCTCCCAACTTTCGCCCAACGCTCTTCCTTAACGCGTGCGGATCACTGAAAATCCCATCTTCTTTGGTGATTGCTGTCATACCCACAGGAAATGTCTCTCCCACGCTTGACTGACCAGATTCACTCGACAAACTTTTCTTTTTCCTCTTCTTTTTGTGCTCCTTTGCTTTGCTGGTATCACTCCCCTTGGACCATTGGTTTTAAAGATCTAGTTGGGGCATTGCGCCCCCTGGTGACATCTACTCAGCACTTTTCACGGCCTAAATTCACACACAACTGAATCAATGAGCTCAAGTTTTCAATTATATTACGGATTATAATACATGTATGTAGTAATACGCGTTTTTATGAACTCATTAGAAAATAAATCGGGTATAGCATCTTTACTGTAAGTCCTGCTTTAGACCTGCTTTAGTCCTGATTTTGTCCTGATTTGACCTGCTTTAGTCCTGCTGTAGTCCACCATGAGACCTTCTCCACTGACACACAGCCCCACTTTGCCTGAAGCCCCCACAGAAAGATCATGGCTACGCTCTCACTGACAGAGCAGCCGTCCCATGGATCTAAAATAAGAGCCGTCCTCCTGTGGACTCACCATCTGCAGGAGGATCAGTGAGGGGCTGCTGCTAGTGAACTAGGTGCAGCTCTGACTGTCACCCCTCGACCCAGAAATGGATTAAGGGGAAGAACATAGTCCTATTTAGTCCTGCTTTAACCCTGTTTTAGTCCTGCTTTAGACTTTCTTTAGTCCCTGAGACCTAAATTGTGTTGGTGGACTTATGCATGGCTAACCTCATGTTTATGCTATCTGAAAAATGTCATTGATTCTCAAATAGGGGGACACAACTCTCTAAAGTTCAGAATGAAGAAAGTCCCAGGCATCATATGTGAGGGTTCAAGTCAAGTCTATTCCAGTTAATCAGTTGTAAGTCAGAACAAAAACTATATGTATGAAATGTTTTGAACTGTCGTATCCTAATAAGTTGAGGAGGAGGACGAGGTTTTGATATTTTCCATTTACAATAAATCATACAGTGATCGCTAAAACAGTCTGGAAGAATTCTAGACTCTTTTATTGTATTGGGGTGAGAGACTCTAGTAGGTTCAGTAATGAGTTGTGTCAAGTTTAAGCCGTTAAACAAGTTCCATTCACTAAATGTGGAAGGGTCAAGCCAGTTAATATCAAAATCACCCAATAGAACCAGCTCAGAATCGCTCTTCAGGGAGGATACAATAGAATATAATTTACAGATTCAGATTTGGGAGAATTTGGAGGTCTAGATAAATATCCTACAATCTATGTTTGTTTTCATGGAGCAAAATCTTGATAAATAAAGCGTGTAAACATAAAAAAAAACATTCACAAAGAGCACACACACGTAAAAGAAGCATCACAAAAAGTGTCACAGTCTGCTGTTTAGTTAAGGAAAGAACTATATTTAATTTTCATGCTTTAGACTTTCTTTAGACCTCCTTTATGTCTCTGCTTTAGTCCTGCTTTAATCCTGCTTTCGACCTGCTTTAATCCCTGAGACATAAAGAACTGAAGTAAATTGTGTTGGTGGACTTAGAAGCATGGCTAACCTCATGTTCATGCTGTCTGAAAAAAAGTAATTGATTCTCAAATGGGACTGAAAGGGACACAAGCTGATTTCACTGTTATCTCATTAATAATTATGACATTTTCAGATAATAGTGACTTAAGGCCAAATAAATAAACTGGACTTGAAGTAAATATAAAAATAGGTATTTATTAGTTCAATGGAAGTTCAAATAAACAATGAAATCAATCAAATTTAAATTGTCTTACCAAGTGCTTTCTGTCTCTGTCTTGGCCCTGTTTTGGTCCTTGATTTAGACCTGCTTTAGTCCTGCTTTGGTCCTGGGATTTTGTGTCCGGACTTTGGCCTTAGAGGAGGAGTTGCTAATAGGAAGTGGACTGACGGAGCGTATCCTGGTTTTGTGTTTTAAAAAGAAGTATTTGACCCACTTCTTTTTGAGTTTAAACAAATAGAACAAGTTGTTTAACCGGTAAAGATGTCCCCAGGAAATTAGCAGAAGCATAGAGAAGAAATTATTATACTTCTTTAGTCTCTGTTTCAGTCTCTTGTATATAAATAATGTAATATCACAAAGGTTTTACTAAAATACAATCTTTATTTAATATTCTCAACACGTTTCCTGGTGGTTGTTCAGATATGATCGGAGTTTGACGCCTGGAAAATCAGAATATCACATTTAATTCAAAAAAATACATGAGATTTGTCCATATTTCACATGTTTTCACTTTTCTTTTGTCGACTCTTTGAGGAAACGTCAGCAGCTTCTCCAGAGTGAGCTGAAAAGATATAGCTGTTGTCAATATATATGAAAATGAATCTCTCCAGTCTCTGTCTCTGTATTCGAGTTCATGTTTATCCAGCTGTTTTCTATAATTATGTCACGTTCTAAACAACAGCAGTTTCCAATTGAGACGTACCAGGAAGTCCCCTCCGCTCTGTGATAGGAGGAGCAGCACGTCTTCAGCGTTAGCCCCGCCCCCTGGAACCACACAGGACTGAGACAGCTTCAGTAGAGCCTCAACTGGAAACACAAACAGGATCACCATGACGACTCCGGTCTCTCTCTGGTCCCTCACTGGTCACTAGTCTCTGTTGTCTCTGGTATCTCTCTCCGCAGTCTCTCTCTCTCTCTGGTCTCTCTCTGGTCTCTCTCTGGTCACCTCTCTGGTCACCTCTCTCCTGATTCACATCCTGCTCCATCTCTAACGGCCTCCACAGCAGCATTGCATTGTGGGAGTCGGAGTGGGCGTGGCTTCTGTTTCTGAGGGGCGGGACTTCGGCCTGGAAGCACCGGCCAACGTTGACACAGCTAAAACAATCCAAAACTTCAATATTTGACAAATTCAAACGAAATGTGGTTTTACTCACGGGGCAGAGAGTCCAGACGTCTCGACCGCAGGAGCTAAAGAAAAGTTAAACACGAGAAACTGAAGAAGAAAGATCAAACAAGAGAATTGCTAATGGTCTACTACTACTACTACTACTACTACTACTACTGCTACGTGAGACTCACTGTTCCCCTCAGAGAATTGGCATGGTATCTGTCTGACAGGCCTCAGCATTGGAGGTGGTCTGTAATACGGCTCTCTGTCCGTGGCGATGCTCATCAGGCTGCAGTGCTGCCACGTCTGCCCTGGCTCCGCCCCCTCCAGCAGCGTCTGCCCTGACTCTGCCTCCTCCAGCCGGATCTGCCCCGGCTCCGCCCCCTCCAACCTCAGACCAGAGCACAGGTACAGAGGAGGCTCCCCAGAATCTTTAGGCTGAACAAGAACAAAGACATTTGAATTAGGAAAAGTCATTAACGAAAAATTATCTGTCTCTCTCTCTCTGGTCCCTCCGTCTGGTGTCTCTCTGATGGTCTTTCTCTGCTCTCTTTCTGATCTCTCTCTGCTCTCTCTTTATCTCTCCCTCCGGTCTCCCTCTGGCCTCTTTCTGCTCTCTCTTGTCTCTTTCTTGTATCTCTCTCTGGTCTCTCTAGTCTCTCGTTGGTCTCCCTCTCTAGCCTCCATGGATTGACGAGAAACAATGTAAAACAGTGCGTACAAACCTTTCTCCTCTGCTGCCTCGCTACTCCTCCTCTTCGTCCTCTTCTTTCTCCTCTTCCTCTTCCTCCTCCTCTTCCTCCTCTTCCTCTTGTGACTCTCTTTGGTTTCTCCTGTTTCACACTCGCGCAAGCTCCGTCCTCCCACATAAAAGCAGTTTCTCCACACTTGTCAAATGGTCCGCTCCCGTAGCTGTGCTGGTGTGGACTGGGCCCTGGTGTCAGCGGGAACACCGGCATTCCCTGGCCGCCGCTGGGGAACACATCATCTGGGATCTCTGTGGTGTTGAAATGACCCTGTCCCCATGCGTCCAGAGAGGTGTTCCCAGAAGAGGGGCCCTCCAGCTGGAGCAGGGTCCGCTCCGGAGGCCCCCAGAGCGACGGGTCAGAGGTCTGGGAGAAGAAGCTGTTCAATGAATTTGGGAGGTGGAAAATATCGGGCTGATGAAATTCGTAGGTGAAAGCAGAGTTGAGGGCATTTTGGGGCATAGTCTGGAAATCCCAGTCCTGAAAAAAAAAGTGAGAAAGAGCCCTGTGAGTCACTATTTGACTCTTTGGGCTGAGAGCTGATTGGCTGAGTGAGGGAGGTCCTCACTTTGTCAGATTTCAGTCTGAAGAAAACATTTCTGGTCTCTCTCTCTGGTCTCACTTTGGTCTCTCTGGTACTTCTCTGGACTCTCTCTGGTCTCACTTTGGACTCTCTGGTCTCTCTTTGGTCTTTCTCCGGTCTCCATTTCTGGTCCCTCTGTCTGGTTTCTCTCTTGTCTCTCTCTGGTTTTTCTCTGGTTTCTCTTCTTGGTCACTCTCTATGGTCTCTCTTTCTATTTTTTCTCTCTGGTCTCTCTCTGGTTGTCACCTGTTGTGGGCAAGTGTAACTGCTGTGCATGCTGGGAAATGTAGGCGGACTCCACATGTATCTCTCCAGATTCTGCTCTGAGAAATGTGGCTGAAAAACACAAAGAACCATAAATGATAAATCTTTCACAAGTTTGAACATGTTGCGAAGGCCTTAAGATATTGCAAATCTCTCTAAAGCATTGCTTCCCGCCCTGAGAAGATCAAACGTTCCACCGCTCCAATCACCAAGGCTCCGCTATTGCATAACATAGCGAAGCCCAGACAAATGTACTCCCAGCAGGCATGAACTCCGATGATTGGAGCAAATCCGAGACCAACCAAGCGCCAAAAGACGGAGGTCCACGCAAGTGGTCCACGAGCCATCAAAAAGACGGATGCAGGGTCACCTCTCCCAAGCTTGGCTCATCCCCAACTTGCAAGGCAAGAAAGAGGAACCTGCACAAACCTGGGCAGGCCGCCTTTCCCAAGAGCGCCTAATCCCCAGGAAAGTAAACCTCACTGCAAAAGTGTCCAGGCCGAAGAATGCGGTGGAGGGATAACAGTCTCACTCTGATCACCCTGGAACTGAAAGATGAGGAAGATAGGATAGAAGTGCATTATTTTTGGAGTAATGGGCCTGGTGTCCGCCTTTATTAACACATTTCCCACCCCTACCCGCAGCTCCAAAGCTGGGGTGGCTGCCGCTCATCCTCCACTGGTTATGAGTTTGCACCTGCGTCCGCCTGCTGCCCAACGTTGACCTCTTCTTCCCTTCGCCTGTTGCCGCTGCCCGACATGAGTTCCGTCTGGGGTGGTTCTGTACCCGCCACTGTGTCACCACCAGGCATACCTCTGCGTACGGGGTGAGCCAGGGGTGAGCCAAGGTCAACACTGGGCTTCAGCTCCTGCCCCTGAACTGTTCCCGCCACTGAACTGCATCTGACCCGTCCTCCAGACCCCCTCTACCCTCCCTGGCTCGTGTTTCTTTTTGGGACATCTGGGAGATTTCCCTTGTAGGGGGACAGCTCCCGACAGATTACAGTCGAATAATCTCTACAAAAACGAATTTGCCAACACTGTAGAAAAAACTCTAGTGGGCCACAATCGGCTGTACATCTCCATCTCAAGGCCACCAACCACACCGTGAACAACACGGTTTGAGAGAGGGGTGAAAGAAGTCAGGTTTGTGAGGAAACAAAAACCATCACTTAACAGAGGAGGCGGTTGAAGATTTGTTTTGCCGCGCATCTATGATGACGAGCTAAAAACAGCGCCCTAACTATAGATAAGGTCAGTGACGTACGAATAAGTTAGAAGTGACAGACCTACACTCCACCCGAGCTCTCAGCAAGCAATAGGTCAATGGCATGCTAATAACTTAGGATCGTTAGCCATAGCAGCTCTCCCTCTGCTCCCCACCACATCTTAACAAACCGTGATGTGTTTATGAGTTAGCCTCAGGATTAGGGTGTGTCTAACCACACCCACAGGTTATACAGTAAATCTCCAACTCACGGTCTGAGCTTTCATTCCCTTGATAAAGTTCTTTGGATGAATAACGAAAAGTTGGGAAAACCTGCTAACTGAAGTACAGATGATGGGTAAGAAACCTTCCTTTGCTTTGATTAATCCCTGTACGTCTGAGAGTTTACTCAAACATATGAATAAGAACTAATACAGCCAATGTTGATTACCATTTCAGGTGAGCTTGCTCACCAGTGCGTCAGTCCCTTGGTCATCAACCAAACTATGGGCAACAGTATTGTAGTCTTTATAATCTGCATTAAAAGCAGCAGCTCCAATAAAACAGAAAACTATCAGGATTAGGCCAGTGCTGCCGTGGTATAATAGTAATATACTACTATAATAGTAATAGGTTTTTCTACCTTTTTTAACAATTATTTAGTATTGTATTACACTTTGGGCCATTATGTTTTTTGGGGTCCGCCTTTGGCAAAAATATATCTTTGTATAAATTACAGTAAGACATATCAACCTAAACATTTGCATGGTGGACACATTGAGAAAACTAGGAAAAAATTATACAAATGGATAAACTAAAACACATTTCAACAAAAAAAATATAAAATTGATCCCCTGACAAAGAACACCCATTTACAAAAGGACTACAACTGTGTGTCGGTGTGCCTTTTCCACTCTTACACTACTTCAACATAAAACATTTGTTTTACACACAACATAAAAAATTTGTTTGATTCATATTCTTACTCATTTCTTCCTGCTTATTCAGGCTATACTTTGCTCGTGTCTGTGTGACATGGTCAGTCTGATCTGAGAGGACGTGGTCAGTCTGATCTGAGAGGATATGGTCAGATCAGACCATATCCTCTGATAGGACGGGGTCAGTCTGATAGACCTGAGAGGACGGGGTCAGTCTGATAAACCTGGGAGGACGGGGTCAGTTTGATAAACCTGAGAGGACGGGGTCAGTTTGATAGACCTGGGAGGACGGGGTCAGTTTGATAAACCTGGAAGGACGGGGTCAGACTGATAGACCTGGGAGGACGGGGTCAGACTGATCTCAGAGGACATGGTCAGTCTGATCTGAGAGGACATGGTCAGTTTGATAGATCTGGGAGGACGGGGTCAGACTGATAGACCTGGGAGGACGGGGTCAGACTGATAGACCTGAGAGGTGATGTAGATTTCAGAAATGTCTCCATGAAGCTGTTTTATACTAATGATTATCATTAGGTGTTTGCATAAAAATCCGTTGTATAATGTTTAGCCTGGGTTTAGTGAATTCAGGGAAGACTCAAGGACAAGGCTTCTGTGATATAAGTATCATTTTAGGAACAGCATATCTCTGTTATCGGAACAAGGCCTGAGACACAAAACTGGACTAGACCAGACCCAGACAAGAGCCTCTGTTGGTCTCACCATATGACGTCATCGGACATTTTCATAAAACTGTTGGTAGGACATTTTGTTAGCAGTCTGAGCAGGGACAGAGAGACAGAGGACATCGCAGAACGCCTGGATGTTCTCTGCACATTTTCAGGCTTGGAGGGAGAGTTAAAATGGCCCAGCATAGGGTTAGTAAGGGAATTAATTGCTCCGAGAGTTTTGTATTCATATTTAATTGTAAAGATAAATAAATATTGTTCTATTTTTGATTGGTCTTATTTCTGTATCAAATTAGTCATTTTTTTTAGAGGAGATGCTGTGATGTGTCTCAGTTGATGTGGTTGCCCATGGTCCATCTCTGGTCTCTCTCCAGTCTCTCTCTGGTCTCTCTTTGGTCTCTCCCTGGTCATTCTCTCTAGTCTCTCTATCTCTGGTCTCTCTCTGGTCTTGATTAAAGTGTTTTTCTGGAGTTTGTCAGAAAAAAGAGAGGTACAAAAAACAACCCAAGCTCCCTCCCCCTTCCTTTCTGATTGGTCTACACCTACTTTTCCGTAACCATCAATCAACACATTTAAATGTTAATCGGAGAACACATTATACATACATACATTATTAAGATAAGATAAGATGTGCTTTATTTATCTCACAAAGGAGAAATTTACATGTCACATTGGCATGGATAGAGACACTCAGATTGTGCAAAAGAAAGAAATGTGTAAAGATGTTATATGCAGGATAATCATGTACAAAAAATAGATAATAATACACATGCTGAGAGGTTTTCAGAATTATCTGTTCACGTTTTCATGACAAAAAAAAATGTTTTAATGCGAAAAAAAGCAATCGTGGTAAACCCGGAAGTAGCTATTAACATTGAACATTAATTGAACATTGTAGGACACATCTGCAGAGGATCTGATTTTGGATATAGGTTCAGTATATAAATGATTTTGGAATGTTGTCAAAAACGGCCAAAAAAAGGTCACATTTTGCCGCTCCGCTGCTCAAACAATGTTTCACTGATCAAAAATCCCTGAGGTCATTTTGAAGGTACATGTGTTGAGATGATGTGGAGCGATTTTGAGGCGAATCGGTGAAACGGCCGAGGAGGAGTCGCTTTCCAACCGACATGTATGAAAACTTTTGCTGTTCATTTTTCCATTTTGCAGTGGAAATTTATGGGCTTCCTGTTTGTCAGGGGGCGGAGCCATAATAATATTTTTTTCATGTCTTGACTCAAGGAACATGTGTACCAAATCTCATGTTTCTACGACAAACTTGACCTCCAAAAGTCCCATAGGGGTATTATTTTGGCTGTTGTAGGTGGCGCTGTTCTGGCATTTTTTGAGTCCCATAAAAATAAACACCAAAATATCAAATTTTTCGCCAGGTCTGATTTTTGGGCCAAAATTAACAACTTTTCATGCATGTTCAGGGGGTCAAATTAAGGCTCAAAGTGCAGAAGAAAAAAAAGAAAGAAAGAAATAAATAAAAAAGGAATTTTTTTTTTAACGTCTCGAGCAAAAACAATATAGGTTTCAATGGCATGTGATACATCATTTTAAAGCTTTTGAGTTTACGCACGCAACTGTCACATTTTGGTGAGTGACGGGCGCTGACGCGTCCGTCACGCACCGCCACCATTTGTTTTCACCATTGTGAAAGCAATAGGCCCTTACCCCGTTCGGGGCTCGGGCCTAATAAATAAAAAAGGAATTTTTTTGTGACGTCTCGAGCAAAAACAATATAGGTTTCAATGGCATGTGATACATCATTTTAAAGCGTTTGAGTTTACGCACGCAACTGTCACGTTTTGGTGAGTGACGGGCGCTGACGCGTCCGTCACGCACCGCCACCATTTGTTTTCACCATTGTGAAAGCAATAGGCCCTTACCCCGTTCGGGGCTCGGGCCTAATAAATAAATAAAAAGGAATTTTTTTGTTAACGTCTCGAGCAAAAACAATATAGGTTTCAATGGCATGTGATACATCATTTTAAAGCTTTTGAGTTTACGCACGCAACTGTCACATTTTGGTGAGTGACGGGCGCTGACGCATCCGTCACGCACCGCCACCATTTGTTTTCACCATTGTGAAAGCAATAGGCCCTTACCCCGTTCGGGGCTCGGGCCTAATAAATAAAAAAGGAATTTTTTTTTTAACGTCTCGAGCAAAAACAATATAGGTTTCAATGGCATGTGATACATCATTTTAAAGCTTTTGAGTTTACGCACGCAACCGTCACGTTTTGGTGAGTGACGGGCGCTGACGCGTCCGTCACGCACCGCCACCATTTGTTTTCACCATTGTGAAAGCAATAGGCCCTTACCCCGTTCGGGGCTCGGGCCTAAATATAAAATCCCTCAGTTGTATGCACAGTTAAACAGAACTGTCTTTAACCTGGTTTTAAACATTGTCAGAGAGGAGGCCTGTCTCACATCTTCAGGAAGACTGTTCCAGATTTTAGCAGCATGAATCTGAAAAGCAGCCTCCCCATGTTTAGTTCTGACTCTGGGCACTAACAGGAGTCCAGTCCCTGTGCTCCTCAGAGTCCGGGCTGGTTCATATGGGACTAACATGTCACTAATATATTTTGGTGCGAGGCTATGGAGAGACTTGTACACAAGCAGAGCTGTTTTAAAGTCTATTCTCTGAGCCACAGGAAGCCAGTGCAGAGACCTGAGAACTGGACTAATGTGGTCGTACTTCCTGGTTCTAGTCAGGACTCGAGCTGCTGCATTTTGAATGTACTGCAGCTGTTTTACAGCCTGTTTGGACAGACCTGTGAGCAGGCCATTGCAGTAGTCTAACCTACTGGAGACAAATGCATGGATAAGAATCTCCAGGTCTGCTTTAGACACTATGTTTTTGATTCTGGCAATGTTTTTTAGATGGTAAAAAGCTGCTGATGTTACTGATTTGATGTGGCTATTAAAATTTAAGTCTGAGTCCAGTATTACCCCGAGATTTCTGACCTTGTTTGAAGGTTTTAGGGAGAGAGACTGTAGGTGACAGATGACGCTCTCTCTTTGTTTCTGGGGACCAAAGACAATCATTTCAGTTTTGTCTGCGTTTAGCTGAAGGAAGTTGTTTTGCATCCACTCACTGATCTGTTGGATACAGTGAAGGAGTGAGTCCACTGGTCCATGTTCTCCTGCAGTCAGTGAGACATAGATCTGAGTGTCGTCTGCATAGTTGTGATAGGACACTTTGTTTCTGCGTATTAACTGACCTAACGGCAGCATGTAGAGATTGAACAGAAGAGGTCCCAGGATCGACCCCTGTGGGACTCCACAGGTCAGGGCCATATGATCTGAGACACAGTTTCCAATCTCCACAAAGTACTTCCTGTCTTCAAGGTAAGACCCAAACCAACTTAGGGCGGTGCCAGTGACGCCAACCCAGTCCTCTAGTCTCTGTAAGAGGATCTCATGGTCGACGGTGTCAAAGGCAGCACTTAGATCTAACAAGATTAAGATTGAGACTTTGCCTGCGTCAGTGTTCAGCCGGATATCGTTTGTAACCTTAACGAGAGCAGTCTCAGTGCTGTGGTGGGGTCTAAAGCCGGACTGAAACATATCAAATCAGTTGTTGATTATAAGAAATCTAGTAAGCTGTAGGTAGACAACTTTCTCAAGGACTTTCCCCATAAATGGCAGATTTGAGATGGGACGATAGTTGTTAAGTACCGTAGCATCGAGACTGCTCTTTTTTAGCAGGGGCCTGATGACTGCAGTTTTCAGGGCCTTTGGGAATATTCCAGAATGAAGGGACATGTTTACTATCTGTGTGAGTGAAGGTAACAGACTGCTCAGAACAGACTTCAGAAATCTAGTGGGTAGTACATCCAAGCTGCATGTGGAGGAGCTCAAACTGGAGATTATCTCTTGGACAGTTTTATCATTTACAGGTGCAAAGTGAGTTAGCTCAAAGAGCCTTTCTGGCTGTTGGATGGTTATCTGTGGATTGGAGACAATGGCGTTTTTGATGCCTTGAACCTTGTCATTGAAAATATTAGCAAACTCATTGCATTTACGTTTGGAAGTAAGCTCTAATGGCATTTGAACAGGGGGGTTTGTTAATCTATTAACTGTTGAGGACAGAACACGCAGATTGTTGCTGCAGCCTTCAATCATTTCAGAAAAATACCTTTCTCTCGTACTACGTAGCACCCGGTTAAACTCGCACAACTTATCTTTGAAGATCTCGTAATCAACCTGGAGGTTGGACTTGCGCCACTTCCGCTCGGCCCTCCGGCACTTTCTCTTTTGTGCCCTGACCGAGTCTGCTTTAGCCCACGGCGCCTTCTGCTTATTTTTCACTATTTTAACCTTCACAGGGGCAACGGTATCCAGAACATTCAAAACACTAGAGGTGACAGAGTTAAACAGTTCATCTACAGTAGAATACGATGCATTCTCAAAGTTTATCATTCCCATAAATAGTTCACTCGTATTTTCATTTATGCGCCCTCTTCGAACAGTTGCAGAGTCCACTGGTGGTTTGTTAGTGAAACACATGTCAAAAAAAACACAGAAATGATCCGAAAGAGCAACATCGACCACGTTTACATTTGAAATATTCACCCCCTTTGTAACTAACAGATCTAGAGTGTGCCCTCTGCTGTGGGTGGGGCCACTTACGTGCTGAGTGAGATCAAAGGATTCAAGTACAGAACTCAGCTCATTTGCATTTCTGTCATCAACATTATCCACATGAATATTAAAATCACCTGTAATAACCAAACTATCAAAATCTGTGCATACAACTGAAAGCAACTCGGTAAAATTATCAATAAAACTGTGACATGACTGCGGTGGCTTGTATAGGACAATGAAGAGTATTGGAGGAGATTGTTTTTGTTGTATTTTAAAAGACACATATTCAAATGACAAAAACTTCCCAAGAGACATTCTATGGGAGACAAAGTGGTCTCTAAAAATGGCAGCTAAGCCTCCTCCTTTTTTGTTTTCCCGTATTTCAGATTCAAACTTGAAATTTGGTGGTGATGCTTCTATTAAAGCTGCACTAACTGACTTTATTTTTGTATTCATTACAAAAAAGCTATCCATGTCCATGTAGTGGATTGGGATTTACGTCCTTTTGAAAAAAAAGTAGAGCAGATTTGGGCTGGCGTGACATTATATTTTAGATCGAGTTTTGATGAAACAAGGAAGAGAATGTGTTTCGGGTCGCAGATTATGACCAATCACAGCGGACCACTGGCCCCCACTTTCATGAGAAATCTACAGGGCCGTTAGCATAGACGGCTGAGTTAGCACAACAAGCGGCGGAGCTAACCTGAAGCTTCGTGTGTCTTCGTCACCGGTTACTGCTTACACAGCGAGACAGCCATCCAAAAGAAAGTCCCGTTCCTCCGCGCTTCCCGGTTCTATCGTTCTATGGTCACGCCATCCACGTGCAAATCCATGTGCAATATATATATAAAATATATTTATCCATATTGGGAGACACTAGCTCCGTCCCAAAAGTGGGTGTGTGTGGGGGGCGATAGCTTCGTGGGTGCGGGGAGGGGAGCAGAAAGAGAGAGGCCAGCGGGTCAGCGGCTTCAAAATCCCAAAGTCAGTTAGTGCAGCTTTAAAACTGCATTTTCTGTATTTTGGTCAAGCCAAGTTTCAGCCATGAACATAAGATCAAGATTATGAGAACAAATAAAATTATTGATTAAAAAAGACTTGTTACAAAGAGATCTGACATTAAGCGTAGAAAGTTTCAAAGTTTCAGTATCAGCGGTTGCGGTCGGCTGATTCTTACACGGAACAAGAATTAGATTTTCCAGATTAGACTGATTAACTCCAGATGTTTTTCTGTAATGTATTCTTTGTGTTATCACTAAGGGAATGGCACAGGTGGCTTCATGACAGGGCCCCAGCCGGGTCTCTCCTCTAACTAGACTGCCAGTGGCTGCGAAGCAGAGACCCTGTGCATCCTAGTGTTTAGATAAAAGAGGGGAAGGGGAACGCAGGGGAGGAGGATGGAGAGGTGGGTGGCTTTTGGGTGTTGAACGAGGGGGGCAGGGAGGTGGAGGGGTTTTAGGTGATGGGTTAGGGCCGGGGTGGGCTGAGGCAGAGGTTTTGGATGTTGAACGAGGGGGAAGTGGGGGTGGAATGGTCATGAGGTTAGGGGAGGGACTGGCTGAGGTGGTTTTTGTAGGTGAATTGGAAACCCTAGGTGGTTTTGGAGGTACATATGGGGAGTGGTTTAGCATGTTGGACAGGACTCTAGATCGAGCTAATATGGGTGTGAGAGGAATAGTCTTCATGGCCGATTTTATTAGCCCTGCAGACCTCCCTGGGCTCTGCCCTGGGCTCTGCTCAGGAAACCAAAGGGCCTTGGGCCTCTTAGATGGCCTCAAACCTCAGCTCCACGTTTGAGAGGACTTCCACAACCCTTCAATAGCCTCCAGCTTCAACCTGAAGAAGTTGCTGAGTTTTGGCACCTAGACTGTGGATCGTGGGAGGACTTGGTTCAACCACATGATGCAGCCGCATGGTCCAGGCCCTGGGGACAAGAAGCCTCCATCCAACGCCATCAAGACCCAAGGACTGCTATTCACCCAAGGCTATTCTGGTTGTATGATCTGCGCTCTTGCTACACACAGCTGTTGGCTTTATTAAAACCTATACTTCAAAGAATACTTCTCCTACCAAGGCTGAACACATGCAGGCCTCAGCCTATACCAATCCATTCATAGACAAAGGCCTTGCTTAGCTCACCTTAGCCTAGCATTTTAACAATGTATCTTGAAATCAACATTTCCTTCATGTTATTCTTGACAATTTGCATAATTCATATCTAGTCTGTATTGTGTATACTTCATTAAATCTACAAAACCATCTTTGTCTGAAAGTGATATTTGTACTTTTAACTCCAGAAATTGGGTCACTGATTTGTAAAAGAATTCCCTACCTTCAGATTCTATTGAAGAGAATTGGACTAATTAGCTAATTAAATAATGAAAGGACTCATGAGATTACTTAATCAATAAATGAGCCAATTAATTGATATTGTGACGTCATATGCACGTGATCAGTTGGGAGTTATTCCCTGGTGCCCCTAAATAAAGCTATTATCAATTATTGTATTTATTACATGGTTGTTTTTATCCAATTCTCCGATATCAGGTACATAACTTAAGTTATGTGTGATATCGACATTTTCTCACCCTACATATTAATACCTATTGTGCATGTTTTTAGTTGTAGGGGAAACCGGAGCACCCAGAGGAAACCTACACAGACAAGGGGAAAACATGCAAACTCCACTCAGAAAGGCGCTGTTCCACTTCCAACCGGGATTCGAACCCAGGACCTTCTTGCTGAGAAGCGAGAGTGCTATCCACTCCGCCACCGTGCCGCAAGTAGAGTAGAGCAGAATACAGTACAGCAGAGTAGAGTAGGGCAGAGCAGAGCAGAGCAGAACCAGTGGGGGCCGGTCCCGGCTCAAAAGTGGCCAAAATGATGTGCGCTGATATGCTTGCAATACCACCCCGGGCCGATGGGGGTGGACCCGGAATAAGAATTAGCCAATGCTAACATATAGCATTAGCTGACCTCTCAAAAACACCTTTACAGGATGGTCCAAAAGCTGGCTCTTGGTCCAAAGCTCCGTTCCACATGTGTGTCAATGCTGAGGGGAGTGAATTTTTTTGGACCACTCTAGTTTACAGGCTGTGAATTTTTCAAGTCACTTGTTTAAATTAATGGAGCTCGCGCCGGCTGACGCATGCGCAGATGCGTTTTTCACACTTTCCAGCCCCCGCGGCCATTTTGAATCACTCCATGAGACCCCAATTTTTGGCTCATTAGTTAGAACGGCGGAGATAGGCGTGACTACGTCCGTAATATATACAGTGGAGCAGAGTAGAGTAGAGCCGACAAGAGTAGAGCAGAGCAGAGCAGAGCAGAATAGCGTAGAGTTGAGTAGAGTAAAGTAGAGTAAAGTAGAGTAGGGCTCGGAGAAACAGGGCTGGGACAGTATGTAGAGCTCAGGTTTGCTGTTACATGAGCAGATGCAGTCATAACAGGCTGAAGCATATTCAAAGGGTTAAAGAGTGAAATATTACACAAATACTGTGGGTTTTGGCTTCTCTTTAACTATTTCTGCAGTAATTCAACAAGAAATGAAAATACAAGGAATCATTACAGAAGACCAAAACCAGGAACCTGTAAATGTGTTTGATATTTGTGTCTGCTTTATGTGATATGACAGTAGGACACTAATCAGTAGTAACAGTAGTGGTAGCAGCAATACGAGTAGTACCAGCGGCAGTAATTGCAACAGTAACAGTTGCAGTAATAGTAGTAGTAGTATACCAGCAGCAGTTGTATTAGTACTAACAGTAACGGTAGCAGCAGTAGTGTAACGTGGTTGACTGTGCGTTGTGTTGTGAGTAGAGTAACCGCCAGGAGACAGGGTAGTATAACAAGTTCTTTATCTGTGCAACACACAAAATAGCTGGTCAGCCTTGGACCTGGGACACCGCAAGCGAGCAGCAGCTAGTGGGGCATACATTTTAAAAGGTTAACATTCCTATATGTACTGAACTGCAATCTAATTTAACTAAACATTGACATTTTCAAGTTTACAAGCATCCCACACAGTCATACAATTGAAAAATAAACATACAAATGCAACTTTAGCAGACACACCAAATTTGTGACCTTACCTCGGCTTGCTTATAGTGAAAATGGCGCCGAGCACATTTTTCCCCAAGACTTAAAGGATCTGTCACCCCAAGAGGGCGCTGTTCCACTATAATACAGTGTCTATAACAAGTGGAATACAATACTTTTACCTGTTACAGTAGCAGTAAAGAAATGAATCATATTAGGTTGTGGTTCAATATGATTTTCCCGCTACATTGCGGAGAAACGATCCAGTATAAATTAAAACACATTTGTTCTTCTTAGGCTACTACAAACATGTGCTGATCATATAGACTGTAAATATTAACGGACGTAGTCATGTCTATCTGTTGAAACTTATGTGCCATCACTTTCGCCGTCTGTGGGTACTTTCAAAATGGCACCGGGGCTGGAAAAAGTGTATGGTAAAAACGCATCTGCGCATGCGTCAACCGGCATGGGCCTCATTCATTTGACGAGTGCCTTCAAAATTCCACAGCCACAAAACTAGACTGGTCCAAAAAAAATTCACTCCCCTCAGTATTGACACACATCTGGTACGTAGCATTGGGCCAAGAGCCGACTTTTGGACCATCCTGTAAAGCCGTTTTCGAGAGGTAAGAAAATGCCATACATTAGCATTGAATAATTCTTATCCCGGGTTCACCCCCATCGGCCTGGGGTGGTATCGCAAGCATGTCAGCGCACGTCATTATGGACATTTTTGAGCCGGGACCTGCTGATGATAGAACTCACCTCTTGGCTCCAGATGAAAATGGTCCATTCATAAATCTGCTCCGATATTTCTGCGGGCTCCGAAAGGTTGGACCCGGACCTGGTGCTGTCGTTGCCATGGCCACAAGTATTTTCCACCGCCGCCGCCGCCAAAATGTCCAAAAAGAAGAGAAAGGCGCTAAACACAAAGATCAGCGACAGACGCCAGTACACCGCGAACTGCAGTGGCGATATGGCCCTAAGCACGGCCTTAACCATGGCACTGGTCCAACGATATCTCCCAAAATCATGCAAAAAATACAGACAGGGTGTCCAAGAAGTACAAAAATAAAGGCTAAAAACGTGATGGAAAAGGCAAAATACCACCACTGAAATGCCCCAGTAGTAGTAATCGTATTAGTAGAAAAAATATAAACAGTCGTCGCAATAATAGTAGCAGTAGCGGTAGTTGTAGTTGTGATATGCCGCTGTGTCCTCACGATGAGACAAAAAATTATCTCTTAATCTTAAAATCTGTTGTTTCAATAAGATCTTTTAAGACTTTTCTTTGCAACAGTGAAGAAATCTTGTTTTTTTTTCTTTATATAAAAAAAAATATTTATATATATTTGAGCCTTCAGTCCATCTAAATATTACTTAAGTCTGCTGTTTGTTTTCTTGAAATTGAAATTAAATCATACATTTACATTGAAAACGTGCTTTAAGAGATAGTCCTGTGTTATTACACTTGCGTCTTTAAGTGGTTTCAATATTATGATTTATTGTAATAATTTACCAAAGCTTTTCAGTTATTGTGGCAGGCTAATAGGCTAATGACTCAATGCTAGCGGTCAACTCCAACACTGTAGACATTAATGATGATTAGAATATTCTTACGACTTCAGCCAATTGTGTCCCAATGCGGATATGTTATAAACCGTTTATAAATGGTCGCGTTTTAAATCTGAGAGTATTTAAAGACCAAGAAACCGAAAGTGCTATACTGAAAATGCTAACTGTTGCTAATCTAGATAGCTTGGGCTAACACTACCAAACTTGACGTTGGTCTGATTAAAGTTGTGTAAAGATGCGTTTTTGTAATTGGAATATTTCGAATAGTTTTTGTTTTAGGTTGTTTTAAGTGGAAAGGCCATAACAATGTAACTAACAATTGTAGTAATAATTAAATGGTATTTTTGCTCCAATAAAAGTTTAAAAGTGTTCTATGTGACGTAACACCAGGTAATCTTCATATACAGTTGGACCGGGGAGAGACCAGAGAGACCAGAGAGAGAGAGACCAGAGAAAAACCAGAGAGAAAATTGTAACCAGGTTTTGATACAATTTATACAATATTTAGCTTATGTCCTAAAACTGTATTAGCGCCTTATTAATTAATTACTGGAATGATATAGAAGGAGAAACCTGGTGTCATGTCATAATTCTACAACCAGATTAAAAATAGAAACTATAATTATTTCTCAAATTTGTAGATATGAAATATAACTTGGATTACCTTAAATGGGTTTGAATCAATTTGAAACTGTCAAATGCACGTTGTCCAAAAGGTCAATAACGCGTAACAAAAGCAGATATATTGAAGTTGCAGAATCTAGTGTTATCATAGAAACTAATTATCCGCGTTTTTTAAAGTAAAAAAAGGGAAGAAAAAGTCTGGTGTCCGCGGTGCTTTTCCAGTGCTGGAGCTGGTTTTAGTGTTATATTGTGTGATGTGTGTTTCGCTAATGAATAGATCTGTGGTTGCAACAGCTGCTCCTGTCGTGACAAACTGCTTTTCTGCCCAAACAAGACTGTGAGGATGTGTGCCAAACTTTAACCCCGCCCCCTTCTCACTTAAGCCTCAATAAATGTGTAAAAATCACTTTGACAACAGCACAAGCAGCAGCAGTAGCAGCAACAGCGTGGAGGCGGCTGCAGAGAGGAGAGAGGGCGCCATCTAGTGTTTGTGAAGGCACATTACAACCAAAAGAGAACAGAGGGACTGGAGGGTCCAGAGAGAGAGAGACCCAGGAGAGAGATCAAGGAGCGATAAGAGAGACAAGGGAGAGACCAGAGAGAAATCAGAGGGATCAGACAGAGAGAGAGAGACAAGGGAGTTACGGGTTAGTACTAATAGATCCATGGGTTAGTACTGTAGTTTGCAATGCATTATGGGTTGCTTAACTGGAAGCAACAGGACAGATGCCCTTAGCAGTTTAATGATTACAGGACACTATATATATATAGTATATTTGAACAAACAAAAAAGGTGGGTATTTTGGAGCACGGTCAAAACTTAAGCCAGACATCGCTATAGCTGAGGGTAGCCTAATGTTTTAGGTCAAAAATATAGACCATCATGTTGAAATCAGAATTGCCAGGATGACTTTAGATGACACATCATCGTGTGTTCTTCAACAACTTAGTGAACATCTTGCATCTACAAATTAAACGGTAATTATACTGTCTTTCATAATAATGTTTGATATTCAGCTGTTGGTCATTTAAATATGTCATATCATTAGCCTATGCATGGAACAGCTTTTGTTACATTAAAAACATGAATAAAACCAACCACAAAAACAGTATGATTAAACAGATGAAGTGTACTAAAGTGTAACCGCTCTACTTCTTAGAAACTTGCAAAAAAGACCTGTAAAAATACTATTTGCTGCAGTGTTTGCAATCTATGACATATTCAACATTCAAGAAGAGGCAGGCTGCACCCTGGAAGTCATTCTGAGGTAAAATACCTTTGACTATACAATAAATCAATGTTTTTATATTTTGCATGAATTGGTCTTAACATTTTACATGAAGATTGTGTTATGTATTTGATGCCAAGTCTATTTGTCATTCAATCTATTTGAACAGAGAAGAAAAACAAATAAACAAACATTGCATTCAATTGAATATCTAAAAAGGATATTGTTGTAAATTTGGTCTGATCTATGTTTCCATGCTACTTAAGAATCTCATTGACTTTGAATGAAACTTTATATAGATCAGTAAGCTCTTAACAGTCTCTGGCATTGCCATATTCACCCCCAAAAAACTGTGTTTACTGTTTACTGAGCATTTCTGATTTCAATAGTTGTTTTTTGACAGAAGAAACACTGGAATGACGCTGCAGTGAGGAACATGTGAAAGTGTAAGACAGGACGTTATAAAAGGTAAGCTGCAGTGTTTATCCTGCAGCAGCACAGCTTGGTTTCATCTAAGCATGTTTTTATTGTTGCATTCTCTACTCTCAAGTTTCTAAGTGGTCTTATTGCTATGTTGAACTTGTTGTGTTGTTTGAGACATGGCAGGTATTGATTTTTGAAGCAGTGGCCATTTTATGAAAACAATGTCAAGAAAGTAAAATAAAACCAGGGTTAACATTCTGTTTATTTTAGTGGAAATAAAAGTTTCTATTTGATTCATGTTATTGTATTGCATAAAAGTCACAATAATGAATATCATAAGTTATTTTCTATTGCTTTGATCTGTTGAAGTTGGTCTGCAGTAAAACCCGGCGTCAGTTGAAGCGCGTCAAAAGCTATTTGAAGCTTTTGGTCTGAACCCGCCTTTAGAAGATAGTAACCGCCTATAGAAGGACTTTGTACTATCCAATTAATAACTGCTGTATGTTTTCATGTATTATTTCTTCTACTGTATTAAACTGTGATTTACATTATACTGTGATCCCAATCTGTGAATTACAGAATACTACTGTTGAGTCATTTTACCTATGAATACCGCAAATAAACAGTATATCGCTGACAACCCTGCGCTGCCTGCTCTTTACTGTAAATTGTAGTAAAACAGAAATAGACCGTTTTTCTTTGTACGGATTTTTACCATATGGTCTTGTTAGGATTTAAGCAGACAGAGACGGATCGTGGTGTGCCAAACTCTGGAAGTTTATTTAAGTTTCTCTCAAGTTCCACTAGTTTACTCTGTTTCTTTCCCTCAGACAGAATAAAGGCAGTACACAGTTTATATAGTCATTGTCACGTCACACATCGAAAGACATACGTGTCACAAAGAGACAGTCACATCATAGTCATAACATGGAGTCCTTGTAGAGTCCTTGTACAGTCCTGCACGTAGGCCATATTGCTATCTAATACTAATACCCTCCCCTTTGATCACATAATCACATGTGATCACTCAATTGGATCAATCAATAAAATGAAAAAAAAAAAAAAAAAAATCCAAAAAAAAAAACTTTACAGAATTATTAAAACTCATAATCATCAAATCAATATCAGTGGATTTTATCCTCTATCCTGGGAAAAAACAAACAAACAAAAACAAACAAACAAATCAAAAATAAAAACAAACAAAAATAAAAAACAAACAAAAACTATTGGACACACAAGAACTCAGCAGATTCAGTCAAAACACAGACAAAAACGAGCTGAGTCTCAAATTTGAAGCTAATTTCACTTTTATTACTCTATACTTTTATTCTAATGCTAATTGTTTACACTACACTTCACTTATTTCACTGTATTATTTTCACTTTTTAATCTTCTATTGAGCCATATTCTTAAACATACATTTTAATCTAACAAATCTCTCTGTGGTTTTACACTCTCATTATCAGTGGCTTATTATCAGTGGGATTTTGCTCCATCTCTATTCTCATTCTCAGGAATAAAACTGTGAACACAGTAAGGCAAATGGTCAACATTTACACTTCTATAGTGGTCAGTGATTTATTACTTTTTATTATCTAAAGATATTATTGTCAGGCAGTTTGGGATGAATGTACATCATTAATCAAATTAGTATTATCCTTACAAGAGCTAATCTATTTTAGCAGGTTTGGGGTTGGGGTCAGTTATTCTACAATGGTGTTTGTGCTGGAAACTTCTCAATATCTAAATATCTACTATTGTGTTTTTGTGCTATACACAAATTCATCAAAATGCTTTTAAATGCTTTTGAATCTCTGTTGGTTCTAATCTATCTCATTGATCTAGGCATTAATCTAGGCTACACTCATATGGACTTTTGCATTGTCAACATTCACTCATGTTTGAACACAAGTGAATTTGGCAGTATCTAATAAAACTGTACATAAACTGTAATTAACTTTATCTACTTTTGAAGTAAATGCTTGTGAAATGGTCCCTTTACCATTTGATATTAGCACTGGCTAAGAATATTCTCTATTTTTGAAAGCATCTATGGTTGATGTCTCTATTTCTACACTATTGTGGCTCTAAAGCTTGGTTGCAGCTTGAGTCAAGGCATATTTCTACTCTAACTCTTATGTGGAAATGTTT